GTTTCAAAGTTGGACCAGACACAACAGAACGGAGGAGAAACAAACACCATCGACTACTTACTGCTTGCAGCATCCAAATTTGTGGTAGAATAAGCGGTGGTGGTTGCGGAAGCTGTGGGAAGAGGAGGGAGAAAATGGGCTCCATTCATTTGACGGTTGCAGTGAATGATTGAAGCACTTGTGTGTTATTAACCTCTTACTTAAGAAATCAAATTCAATCAACTCAGTTATCCACTTCTACTTGCTGATTTTCCATCGTTTGATGGTGTCATGACTTTTGGATGAAATTACGCGGACCCAAAATGAGATACCAACCTCCCATTAGAAAATGGCATCGCGCGCTTCCTACACGGACCTACGATTCATCGACCAACTTCCTCCAACAATCTACTAATGGACTTCAAACTTGTAGTCATCATTTGGCAAGGCTGTCAAATATCACTTTACTGGTTTATCCACTTATTTTCAACATCCGATCTGTTGTCTTAGTAAAAAGAGCCTATTTCTGTATATATCCGCCATCTCCTTACTTGCTGAATGAATGCATATCTTGAACAGTAGATTGAATAATGGCATCCCAGTAAGTGGTTCCAGTGCGGCCACTAGACTACCTCAATGGTCGCCAATTCACCAACGATAGAGTGTCAGAACACCTGGGTTCTCGAAGGACAACATTACCAACTATTCTCAGTTATGCACCAAAGAGCGAAGCTGAATTAGCCAAACTAACTTTGAGCAGCGGTTGGGATGGAAGGCGATGTGAAAGGGGGAGATTTCCGCGACACAGAAACAGCACACACACCAGTTGAAGCTGCATCTGGAACGTTCGTTGGCGATGGAACTAAAATTGTGGGAGAGAAGCATTCAATTTATCAGGATTATTTTAAGCTACATGTACGTGTACGTGTCTATGTTTCAGTGATAAACTCACGCCTCGAGGAGAGCGGTTTAAAGTTTTCCACGCCCAAATCGCCAATCGGAGCTCCGAACACCTTTGTAGTAGGTGACGCTGTAAATGAAGTAAAAGCGACAACTGTGGTTTTTGAGAGTGGAGGAAAACTTCTGCACAATGAGCGAAATAACGCCGTACCTGTAGGGGTTACACGAGTGGGCGAGGTGAGCGACTTTGATGCAGAGGGAGTAAACATAGGTGATTTCGACAAAGGTGCCACTCCTAAACAGTAGAAAACTGATTGTATCAGCATACTTATTTACGCACACACAAAGCTCGAAAGGTTGCACCGGCTCACCGGAGAAGGGTGGTTTTTGAGAGGATGTTACTGGCACGGCACCGCCTTAGCGTTGGGGGAAAATCAGTAAATGCATCACTTTTAAAATATGTACATTTTGAGTAAAAACACTCACCGACTAAACTTGGTGCGGCCAAAGGTGCCTCTGATTTGCCCATAGGAAGCACTTTCGTGGAAAGACAAAAAACAGCAACTAGTAAAAATTCAGTAAAAACGTGATTCGCATGCAGCCAATCCAAGGACGTACCTTTGGGAGGCTGTGATTTCTCGGTGACCTTCTGAACAGGAGTAGATGTGAGAATGTTCTCTGTTGCTGTGGCGAAACTGAATCCATTGGCCTTTGAAGTGGGGTAGCCACTCGCCAGTGTAACAGGTGGAACTAACATTTGCGAATAAAATAATCCTTTATAGCATTATGCGAGTGGACAATTGGCATGCATTGGGACACGAATCACTAACCTGAAGCGGCAGAAACGAGAAGTTTGGAAATTTCAAGATTCTTCTGCTGACCAGGCAAATCTAAAGACACAGGCAAACATACACATGGACACAAACACAAATGTTGCGGTGTGGCTAATCATTTCCAATGTAATTCAGCTACTGAAAAATATGGACAGTTGCACAAAGTTGTGAATGAAAGTGAGCATTCCTACCATTCATGTCCAACCTACTCCTTCAGTCTCGCAACAAAGCCTTCCGGTAAATGCATCTGGAAGTAACTACCGGCAAATACCTCGAGAATGTAGAGGAAAGCATCGCTAGGCAGAAACGATGGGGTAAGGCAACATTACCAAGGCGAGAGAAGTGAGGGAGCTTCAAATAGAAGTTCAACATAGAACACTACTTATCAGGCTTACCCAGGTGTCACATCGAAAGCCAAAAGGACGAGAAGACGACAAAAACTACTTCCTAACCATTTCTAAACAACGAAACACAAGCAGATATCTAGCGCTACTAGAACTTTGTTGGTCTTGCCCTAATCTCGGAAGACGGAACAAATGCTTATGGAGAGAGCCCTCACACTCCAAACGCACCCTATAATTCCACCGACTTACTCATCTGCGATGCAGCCTTGGGAGAACTCGACGATCCTGATGGTTTCAGTGGTATCCTGCCAGCAGATTTTGGTGTCGACTTCGGTGGTTGAGCATCCTCCTTCTCCCTTTCCTTCCGCATCAACTCCACCACTTCCGCCACTGTCGACGATGCCTTGGCCACTGGAAGTCGTTCCGGCCCAGTACTTTTCCCCGCTCTTGTCTTCGTCTTGCACCTGTCTCCGCCACACAGCAGACGATAGAGTCGGGCATCCTTCTGCTCACGGTCCACACTAATTGCGGAACCGCCTAACGAAGGGGCCAACGTGGAGGTATTTCTCCATTTATTGGCCGAACAGTCAGAAAGAGATATTCCAGCCATGCGAGCTATAAGTTCTAGTCGATAGCGTTCACACTTGATGAGACGCGCGTTCGTGGCGATGGTTGCTTGAATCTTGTCCAATGGACTGAAGAGGAAGCAGGTGAGTCACTCCTACTACTTAAAGACAACCTGAGTAGCTATCAATCCTACTCACCTTCCAACGTCACCCATGGGCAAGCTCAATTTACTCCCGCTCATCAACCGATTATTTCGCTCGTTTCGAGCGTCCAACTGGGCGGAAAGACTCTCCACCTGATCCTCAAGTTCAGCTAAAAAGCTCTCGGCTGCACGAGATTTGCGCCGAAGCGAGGCTAACGTAGCCGCGGCTCCGGGATCCAGTCCTGCGGCAACGATGACTCGATGCTTATCACTAATGCGGTGGCGAAAAGCATCAAAATCGGCACTCAGACGATCCAAATAGTCCGCGGAAGCAGCCTGCTCATTTACAGAGAGTTGAGAGGCCTTCCGAAGCTCTGTAGTGATCTTAAGTAAACGAGGTAATTTTTAAGCCTCTCAATCGGTGCCATACAAGGTGATGCAAGTAGTGGTTCTACCTCCTCCACAACACACAAAAAATCGTCCATGTTGTTGAGACTCTGCTCAATGTCCCACACTCCCCGCCTCACTCCAACCTCATCGCCCTTCTGCTGAAGATTTAATGAATTCCCCTCGAATACAGACTGCAGGTGGCTCCATGCACGCGCCGAGGTCTCTGCTTGTGATCTCAGCGCCTTCCAAAAGTGGTTGGCCGCCTCCATTATTGACTGAGTTGGTGCAGACGGCTCTGCAGTTGGGTTCTCACCTGGGAAGTGTGGTAAAAGCATCTTTATTGAAATCCAGGCAAACCGAAAATGCAAATGAGAAAATTTGACGAAAAGGTAACTACCAGTATCGAGAGGCGGATGGTTGGCGACAGCTGAAAGGGGGAAAGAAGGAGGTTCAATAATCAGTTGAAAGTAAATGTCTTCAACAGCACATGTTTGCATATTTCCTAGTGAAACGGCAAAGGCAGTCAATATACTGTTAGGCAGATTTTTTTCTGATTAATGAGCACTTTGAACTACAAAATGCAATCAGATTTACCTGTATTGGTGGGCTTGACGCCTCTGGTTGCAGCAGTGGTAACGGTCGAAGTAGCAGATGGGTTGCCTAAGACATAAAAGTGCGGAGCGTTAACGTATCGGTGACTGGACACCCTCTTTATTGCAGCCAATGTAAGATTAGAAGACGTGGCTGTCTTAGCAACAAAACCAGAACGAGTGAATAACTTAATTTAGAAGTACCGGTGGCAGCAGGCTTTCCAGAGGGCGTTTTGGGAGATGTCTTGTTGATGAACCCCGATGGTGTGCCTAAATTGACTTAAGATGATATTCAATAAATTCCGAACTGCCAGTTAAGCCATCCTAAGTAGCAACTCACTAGTGGCAGGTTTTTCGAACCACGACACAACAGAGGAGTCTGTTGCAACGGTAGGCGTTGATGAAGCTACAACATTGGCAAGGCACACTTGTTTCAATATCAACAGAACAACTTGTAGTAATTTCAGCAACAACTCCTCACCAGTGGTAGCTGCTTTTCCAAAGAGCGATCCAAAGGCAGTGGCAGGGAACAGCGTTGCCGAATTGGTTGTTGTAGCCCCTGAAACGGTGACCCAAGTATAAGCACCTGTAGCATGCAGCTTTGTCCAACAATGAATCAGAACCAGTGAGGCAGACATGCTTTACTGATAACCAGCTTCACCCCCGATATTCCTCATACAAATGACATCAAATTAAGCGGCAAATATGCCTTCACCTGATTTTGTTGCTACCACTGAAGTTGTCTTGGCCACCGTTCCATCTAAAAGCAGTAATCCATCAGTATATTCAAAATTCTAAAAAGTATTTTGCTCAAAAGATGCAAGTATAAGCCTATTTTGTCCCCCAATGGAGGGCCTGTTTGATGTGGAAATGATAAAGAAGCTGTCATGGCAGTAATCCCATTTTATCTTTAAATGAAAAGCCAAAACAAAATACTGAACTTCAAAAATATGGTACGTGCCTACCGACATGGTAAGCACTATGTGGAATGTTTACCTGAGGTTGTCGATTTATTAAAAAGGCCTGCGAAACCGGAAGGAGCAACTGCACCGTCTAGGACAAGTGTTAAATTATCAGTAGTATGCTTTACCAGTGGACATGGAAGTGCTTCCAAATAGAGTGGTTGCAACAGTGGTTGAAGGCTCAGAGGAGGCGGAGGGGGAGGAGGAGGACTGTGTAGCCACTAAAAAGGTACGACATCCGACTCAAAAGTGGTTTCCAATGTAAAAGAAAGTAAAGAAAAAAAAGCAAATGTGAACCCATTTTTGAAGAGTATCACTTATATTACGAGGTCATGACCACTGTTACCGGATGGTAGCTGTGGAGGTTTGTCAGCTGATCCGCACCACATTCGAAAGCCCGCGAAGACGTTACATGAACCCTCTGCTTGAGAAATCCTTGCAGGAAGAATTTTGAAAGCAAAAACAGCCCCGTTCGCCAACAAACCGATAATGAGGGGCAGGGGATCCGGTGAATCAAGCAGGGCACCCACATGCATCGCGATTGGATAGCTATCAGTGGGGAGGGGAAGTGGTTTAATCAGCTTTGGAAGACTATCGGCAGGTGGACTTCCATTTGACGCCGTAATGGAGGGAACGTCAAGGAGGTAGCACTCTTCTGCATCAGGTAACCACGTCACCGTTGCCAGTGTGGTGGAATTGGGTACAAGACACATCAGGTAACGGCAGAGCCCACCACCAAAACTCGTGAACTCAGGCAGTTTTCCCAACCGTGGCTCCGATTTAGGCTGAAGTAGAGCGAGAAAATAGGTTTTACTGAGGTGTTGTAAGCGGACAGTTCATCATGCATGAAATATGGTTACCAGAACTGTTATGAAGACGAGGCGCATCTCTTTTGCCGAAGCGGCGTCCGTCACACCCAAAAGGAAGCAATAGGAGGAGGTCCACAGAATGTCGATTGGTCGGGGTTCGGTGAGGTCTGAAGCAAGGACGCTCCGGTTAGCGTCAAAAAAGTTATGAGGTATAAGGCAATCCTTTTTGGTCCTCGAACCATTAATAAGCTTCTAATACCTTATCACGTCACCAAAAGTAATCCAGAGGTAACAATGGTGACGTGGTAGTCCATCAACGAAAGTTTGCGGTTAGATGGACTGGCATGGAACAGAGGCACTCGGTAAGAAGGCCAATCCTGCAGGGTCCCACAGTGTAGGAGGCCATTAGAAACTTGCCCATTAGCAGGCCTTCTAACCTCATTTTCCTCAAGCATAACCAATTATGAAGCTTGGCCTGCAATTTGCGAGTTCAAACCATACATAAAATACCCCGCGTGTACAAATTTGAAGAAAAAAGCGGAATACAAGCAAAATAGTGCAACGTAAAGTCCCTTCATGTGATAAGAAGAGCAGTATCTAAGTGGACGGCTGAGGAGTAAAAGGCGGCAATGAGAAAGAAGGAAGGAGGGGAATTAGAACGTAACTCAACGTTGGGAAAGTTTCCGCAGCAATCACCAAAGAACACTGTCCCAGCCTGGAAGTCACAAAATTTGGAATTTTTATCAAGTTGGTATCACATATACATGGTGTCACGTTTTTTCTTCTATCCGCGTCAACACAGAATCATTTTATCTTATGGCTAATGGCAGTAGATCATTTCGCTGACAGATCAGTAGGTGGACAAATAGCCCTCCTTTCCAACTCTTAGTAGCACTGGTGTACAAGGTGACAAAACAGGTTCGTGCAATGGAAGGAAAAATCCCCTTCTTTAAAATCCTCACCACTGCAAGCTATCAACCGTTTGGAACGCGACACAAACCTCCGGCAAATTGCACTTAAATATAATGTTCTAGCCTCAGAAGCCAAAGAGGAAGCTCGTCCAAGATACTCCAGTTTTACCCTATCTCCTGTCTACAATTGTCTGTTTTTCCCTTCCCTTAAAGTACGGAAAGCCCCAAGGACAAGTTTTGCAGCATTCTGTTTTTTTGCATTGTCTTGCAATGGTAGGATTTTACCCCAACCGAGAGTTTAGTTCTGATACTTTCTGGAGGATTTTCTTCGGCATCAAACAGGCCACAATGGTAAGTGATTGGCGTTCGGCGAGCAATGCATAGAATGCAGTTGCATCCACGGTTCACCAAATAGAAAACAGATGCAGTCTCTTGAAGAAGATGTTTTGTGCGTCTTAGAGGTGTGAGGGAGGAGAGGTAGGCGGGTGGTGCCAATGGGGGCACTGGTGGTGCGGTTTAGTTCGGCTAAAGTGACGCGAGTTGGAAGGCATCCTTGTACATGATGGGTTTAACACCTGAATGGTTCGTCAACAGAATCCAAGTTGTTCAAATCATTTCTACGCAGACAAGTCCATACCACGTCCACTCCATGACGATATGGAGACATGAAATGAGTAAACACTTGATAGATGACCGCAATTGGCAATAAGACATTGCGACGACACCAAGAAATGTGTTTGCCACCTGACAATAAGTGGAACAAACAATTGGCAGGCTATAGTAGGCATTTTTCTCTCCTTTGAGACCTCCGTCGCAAATCAACCTCATTTGAGAACAAAAAATCCTTGCAAATTGGTCAAAATTCGCAGAGAATTCGCCACAAATGCTACCATACTGTTTGTCTCTGCGAGAGCATCTCTCCAGCAGTAAAGTTAAAACGACGCAGATTGGAGATTTTTACGACTTAACTCGTCGAGTTGCACCAACTCACGTTTCATCCACTAAATTAAATATTCATGCTATATGCGAATCGGAGGCAGTAAAAAAGCGTTGCAGTATGCAGACACATAACAAACACCCTCCACTGCCTCTCGATCCCATCCATTCACATACACCCGCATGCAGAAGTTCTAGCTCAAACTGTCATTTAATTATACCACAAACAAATTTCTCCATACTGTTGATGTAGATGCAATAGCATGGTAGCATGGGATGCCAAATCAGTTAATGAGACTGACAGCGGTTCAATAATCACCTTTTTTACAAGCATAGACCATAAAATGAGGGGTAAAATGATCGCTCCAGAGCATATCACGTGAACATCCCAAACTGGCAATTCCACCATTGAAGTTACACCTACCAGAATGAGGAAATTATTGCTATCTTCCAGGGGCATCTCGTCAAACATTGGGTGTTGTAGTAGGTGAAA